TATATATATATATTATATAGACATATTGTGTGGGGTGATTCTGCAGACAGGGCAGACCGAACTCAAACCCCAGAGTCCGAAGACCCCCACCATCATCTGAACTCCTGAGGAGATATACATACATGCATATACAGGTATATATATATATATATAAAAGAGGTGTAAGACTAAATAAAACAGGGAGAGCACAAAAGGGAGGAGGGAAAAAGACAAGGAGACATGAAGGGAGGGGAGAGTGCAAACACATACTCATAAGTATTTTGGCAGAGAGTGACAGTGTGTTATAATCTAATGGGTGTTTGGACTTAAGTATGGTCGTGTTACAACAGTTACATGTCTGACAAAGCAAATGAATAAATATGTCATTGTAACATACAAGATCAAGATGATAAACACTCAGAATTGATAATTGAAAAATGTTCATTAGAAAATTACAAAATACATTGACATTTATTATTGTTTAAAATGTTTTTGTTTGAACAAATAAACCTCCTCTATGATGTCATGTTCTCTGATGACTTCAGTACCATGGACAGTGAATCGTAATCGAAACGTAATTTGTAGATGGTTCCTCAGATAACGATGACGTCACAACATTCCATAGAGGTAAGCGTGTTTATCACATAGACTTTTGCCTTGTCCAAATACCCACACTTGCGGTCTTTGCCCTTGATCACTTGACTACTTATATGACGTATTTCCTGTATCTGGCCCAAGTGTTCAAGTGAGCATGAAGACCACAAGTGTGTGTACAACTTTTCATTACCTGATGGGACACACTTATAGTGTTGTAAAAACGCAAGTGTTTACAGAGTTTTAATTTTTATTTTCAATACTTTGCATTTTAAAATAAACTTCTAAATGTCTGTTCAGTAGTCCCTACAGATGTCACAATTTAATTTATGGTGCTTCTAATTAAGTGATAAAAAGCAGTTGCAAATGATGTACAAAATAAATACTCACCTTTGCACCAATAAAACGTGTAGCATTTTGTTTTACTACCAAATTATATGCAATATCTAATTATTATATTAATATTTAACTTGCATTGGAAAGGTTTCCGTGACCTCTCGCGAGATCAAGGCATATAAAAACATGAGGCTTGTTTGAGATGCGCCTCGCCTTGCCTGAAATGTAGGCGAGAGTAGGCGGCTGCAGTGAGAGGAGGAGTGAAATCAGCGCAGTCAAGACGGACAGTTCTGCCCTCTCGAAGTGGAACAGATACCAACGAGATCAAAGGCGGATATCGCGTTATTCACACTTACATGCTGTGTTGCTAATAAACATGATATAATTTCAGTTCTGTTGCTTTTATATGAAAATAAATATGATGAACAAGACACTCAAAGTGCTTGCTATTTAATTCCATACGAAAGGTGTATTTATCATCCATTTTTACTTTAATACAAACATGTAATTTATATTTTTATAGAATTATGACATAATCACATTATCTCACACAGAGATTGCACTGTCATAGTGTTTGGGAACATTCATGCGTAATTTAAATACATAATCACATGAAATCAGATAAAAAAATAAAATATTTTAGAAGAGAACCGCAGCATCACAGTTGTCTGAACCAATGAGCATTTGAATATACAAACAAGAAATGATGGTGGAAATTATACTTTTCAACGAAATTAAAACGCCAGTAGGTGCCAGTAGTGAGCGTTTAATGAGTGAGTCACTGAGTAATTCATTCAAACGATTCGTTCAAACGGCAGATTCATCAGATGTTTATGCATGGGCTAATGAAACTTTGATTCAACCGATTCGTGATTCGTTCAGAATCAATCAGCAATGAATCGGCTGGTTGCTGTGAGGTGCGCTGTGTTCCGCCTAAAATGTAAAATGTATAATATTATTGTATTTTCTTATTGAACTGTTTATAGAAATATTAAACAGTCGTATTGGTGAAAACGTTGTGTGATGTTGCCTAACTAACTGAATTTTAAATATAAAAACTTTCCATTTTTAATTTTTACCTCAGGATGCTGAGTTTCTTAGTGTTGCGCGTTTTGATTTCTCCTGGAGAGGTTGCGTGAGCCTCGCCGTTATAAAAACCTCACAGTTGTCATGAAGGGCAAAATTAGCTATATAGACCAAAATCGTTTTTTGAACCATTTGAACCAGGTTTTTTTTTCTGCTGTAAAGTTGGTCATTTTAACATGGGGAGTCTATGGGATTGACTACCTTTTGCAGCCAGCCTCTAGCGGCCAGTCGGTGAATTACAGTTTCCTTGTTGGCATCACGAGAGAGAGCGGGAGGTTGCCGCTTGGGCCTAGCCATAGAATGTATGCACGCGTTGCAGTTTTTCAAAAGAAGCGCTTCTATATTAAAAATGGCATAATTCTTATTTCTGTATTGAATAACTTTGCATAAGCCAATGTTTGTTTGTTTATATGGTACTTACACGTAATTAGACAAGAAACAATAAGAGAAGTCGCATTTGAGTTATCCTAGTTACAGCTCTTCTTTTTGCCATGACGTCACGGAGGAGTTTATGGCGGGAGTCTCGCCCCCTCCG